TACTGTCATGGAATCACAGTGCTTGTGTCCAAGTACCCCTTATTTTATTTAATTGTTCTATGTTATTATTAGTTATTGTTGTTAATCTCTTACCATGCCTAATTTATAAATTAAACTTTATCATAGGTATGAGTGTATAGGAAAAAACATAGTATACACAGGGTTCGGCACTATCTGTGGCTTCAGGCATCTACAGGGGGTCTTGGAACGTATCCTCTGTGGATGCGTGGGGACTATTGTAAGTTGATTGAGGCCAGCATCTCTAGAGGGTTTTCTGCTTGAGACCTGAGCAGGACACATTGCTTCTGTTGGAGAAGGCTCGACTTTACTTGAAACAGCAGGCTGGTACCTGAGACCACAAAGGGCTATACTCTGCTTCTTACCCACTGCCTACACCAGTTCTAAACCTTGCCTCCTGATTTCTTCTGCATCATGTCTTCAGATTCCCATCCGGGTGAAACTTGGAGGCCTCCAAATTCAATCTCTCTCTTTTTTAACCCTTCAATCCAGCTCCATCCAACAGATATGTATTGAGTGCCTTCATGTGTGCCAGGCTCTGGGGTTTCAGTGAACAAAATAGACAAAACACCCAAACTCACAGGGCATTCCATTTTTTAAGCCTGTGTTCAATACATTTGTTTACACTATGAATTTGCACTACAATATTTCTAAAAATGTGTGTATGTGGAATTTTTCTGTTATTAAGTATTTAAAATTCATGAGGGGAATTTATCCTTTAAAAGGAGGTTCTGTTAAAAGTACTTGATTTTTAAATGAATAATCTCACCTAAGTAATTTTATATATGTCCTGTGTTTTCATATGTTTGGTTTCCTAAAAAGATACAACTTTTTTAATATACGAAGAAAGCTTTCACAGAGAAATGCACATTCCAGTTGGGTCTAATTATCACTCAATTGGAATGTGTGAAGTTGAGGATAGTCAAGTTTCTCTACAAGTCACAGCCCTCTTCACAATGAAAAAAAAAATTTTTTTTTTTTTTACCAGATATGCAATGATAAAAGACAACCACTAGCAGTCGCTGAGCGCCCGCTCCTTTGGCCCCAGCTCTCAATGTCGGCTCTCGATGCTTGCCAGCAAACACATTTGCTTGCCTCTGGATATGCATTAGCGCTCTAACTGAATTGCACTTTAGTTTGATTGACTACGTTTATGTAAATGGTAGAAGAACAGTTAACCAAGCCATTTGCTTTCTTTAGTACACATCTGGGTTTTAGGGCATTGACTGACCCTCTAATCCTCCCTTTCAAATACGAATAAAATTAAGGAGAGTGTTGGGGGAGCTTCAGGATAGCTGAACACGTGGACGTTCCCGGAGGGTGGCTGCCTGGAGAGGGCATGGCAGCTCCGTGCGCCTTGCCCCATACCTTGCCCTATGCATCTCTTCCTCTGTATCATTTGTAATATACTTTATAACAAATGGGTAAGTGTTAAGAAAAAAAAGAATAAGATTAAGGGATTTATGCTCAAGCCATAGGAAAGACTCTTCTTACATTTTTCATAATGGAAAGAATATTGGACCTGAAATCAGGTCTCAACTATATCTTTCTAGTTCTGTCATAGACTGTAGATGTGTGAAGAGATGGCAGGTCAGAGTTTTCTGGGAGAAAATTAACTGAGAAGGTCTTTGGATGGTCTGGGACCCACTGTTGACAGATTTGTGGGGGGATTGGACCCTGACAGACTGACTCTCATAACTAAAAGGGTACCTTGGACCCTTTTAGACCTGGAATGTCGGTCTATTAAGTTATGCTACGTGGGAAGTCAGATCCCAATCACAAGGAGGGTTTGGGGAGTAGAGCAACGTGGGTGAGTTTAGCAAGAGTCCATCAGCTGAGATAGTGAGGGACTTCCCCACTATACGGAGAGCCTTGCCAATGGGACTGCTTCCTCAGAGTCTTTGGGCTACGAGACCACCTCCATGGATAGTACAGGATTATCACTGCCTCTGTCTGCCTCTTGGTTTCCGGTTCTACTTGTGGCTAATTCATTCAAAAGTTTGCACCTTCGCTGGCCTCCGTTGGTATCTTTTTGTATTATCTATGTTGGGATTGATTAGACACTGATACTACAATTTCCCTCATTAGGTAATGATAATAATAACCTAATTATTTAGCTTCCATCTCTATCAGAGGCAATGCACATTTCCAGTTGATCTATGTCGCCTATAAGTGATACTAACATAGTTGACAGTAATGAATGTCCATAAGTGCCAGGCACTGTGCTAAGCACTTTGTTCAAATTATCTCACTTGATCCTCACAATAACCATAAGGGGGCATTTAATATTCTCACTTTGTAGATGAAGAAACTGAGAGTCACGTAGGCTAAGGAACAGCCCAAGTGGTGAAGATGGAATGTGAACCCAGGAGATTCCACTCGAAGACAACAATCTTAACAACTTAGCAACTCTTTGCCCAAGTGGTGAAGGTGGAATGTGAACCCAGGAGATTCCACTCGAAGACAACAATCTTAACAACTTAGCAACTCTTTTTACCGTCTAGTGCCTGAGTTCTGAAATCCATCTTTACAAATATCTTTTCTGTGTATGTGACCTGTGGGTGATCTGGGCATTGTTGAATTCTGATTGATTGAATTTTCATTGATAGAATGTCATATGCTAAGGGAGTCACATGAGCACAGACTTCCTAACTGCTTTTGCAATAAGTTGATGTTGCTTGGGTTTTATATTTCATGTTGTACTTAATATAAAAGCTGTTTTTTAAATATTATAAGGAAATATCTGAAAACATTTGGGTCAATAGACCCTAGTGATGAAATGCCCCCCAAACACAATGGCTCATTCAAAAAAGGACATATTCCTGTGAAATAGTTTCCACAAATGAAACTCCTATGAATGTAGGGAGAACACATAAGAGTGCAAAAGCACGGGCTCTGAAGCATCATATTATAATAGTTGCCCAGGTTTACTGAGCACTTACTTTGCACCAGACATTACTTTAAATTCTGTGTATATATTTACTCACATAATTATCGAGAAACCTATGAGGCAGGCATAATTTTTATTCCTATTTTACAAATGAGAAGAGGAGGCCAAGAAATGTGAAGTAACTTGGTCCCACAGCAAGTAAAAAATAAGCCAAATGTTTCAAAAGGAGTTAGAACTATTTAATGTAAATACAGC